AACAATGAATGTGTTCATTGTATTGTGGTGGTGTTTGTAATGTAGCCCAGTGGTTAGGTTACCGGATTCGTTGTCCTGTCATAAGATTTCGGGTTCGTGGTTTCGAGCCTCAGCTCGGTCCGACGTTGTGTCTTTTGGGAAAAGCACTTAAGGCACTTTACATGAATTTCCCATTTGACTCGGTTCTTTCGGAGATGAACGCTAAACTTGTAGATCCTACCTCTTAAATAATTTAATAGTGTGGATTGGAGTATTAAAACCTCAACCTTTTCACAATTTTTTCAGCATTGAATTAAACAAAGCTATCCGACCCAGGAATAGATATGGCAGAATGTGCATTCTCTGAGTTATCCGACCCGATAAAAAGTTTGGTATCCCCTAGTCTAGAGAAAATAACAAACTCAGAAGAATTTGTAGATATATATGTCTAGATCTAGCTTAATACAGCTTCGAGTTTTGAAATCGGTTACATTGCGTATCACAAATGTCGTAATAAACTCGAGCTTTTTCATTAATATGTGGTTCTTATTCGTTGGTGTGTTTCACCCATAGAACGAGACACTGTCCCTCCTAAGAGAAATGTGACAACATTTTGCTGTTCTATGTGAATGAGACCATGTTGTGGACAGAACACGACTCTAGACTCACATCACGGCTGGGAGGTTTATCCAAAGGAATTGGTTACTCTCAGGCCTTTCTTCATTTCGGCTACTTACCGTTACAAAACATTATTCTTCAACTTCAAGGAATCGGATGCGTATTCTTATTCCTAAGTTCAAGTCGTAGTAATAAAAACATTAAGGTTTATTGCGTAGGAGTGATCACGATGTAATTGCAAATCACTAAATCTGCACCAATTTAAAAAAAAACAACCACCCAATAATTAAAGGGATACAACACAACCCCCCCCCTTTTTTTATTACCAAAAAAAAGGGGGGGGGGGTGGGCTGACCGTAAAAATATATTTCCTTCTGCAAATTATAAACCCTTTAAAAAAAATAAGAATTCTAAAGCTCGAGTCGTTATGTATTCATGTTTTGACATTGCCTGTGCTCTATTTTTTCAGGTGTGTTCTCGGAATTAGAATAATCACCCCGCCGCCCCCCCCCCCACCCAAACCCCCTCAAAAATAAAAGATCCATTCGCAGTCTTCATGTGGCTTTGACTAATGGACAGATGATGTGTGATGTAACGTATAAACGAGAAAGCATTGCGTCTATGAATGTTCACACTTGTACGTGCCGTATAAAACGTTGCTTTGGAATCTGTATTGTCTCTTTTTTTCTGGCACATTCTGACAGCTAAATCAAATGACTAAATATGTGACATTCATATATCATGGTCGCTTTTAAGGACAAGCAGGCTAACCCAGATTTCGAGGGTTTCCAGAAATCTTGACCTACTCCAAAAGTGGGCATTGCCCTACGTACAGGAGAAGTTTTGTTTCTTTGGTGTGTATATTTGTTTGGTTGTTGAGAAAACCCTCCTTGTCATTTAAAGAAACTGAATACGGGCTCAAAATCTTTACCTTCGGTTTTCTCAAAACAGCATTTTTCGAGACAGCCCCCTTGTGCTTAAAAGTGACCACATAGCGCCCAACCTTGATCAAACAACACAGGCTCCGAGGTCTTTACAATAAATTCAGGTACAAAAACATAAACAATACATCGTGTTCAGGCTAAACATTTTTGCATACATACATCTGAAACGACTTGAGCTGACTTCGAATGAATTTACAGCTCTGGTCTCTTTTAAGTTTCCAAGCTGGTCGAGGGAAACATTTTAAATGCGTGGCCAGATGAAGCATTTGAATGCAAAAAATGCAACGACAAGAAGTGAAAAGTGAAAAACTTTTGAGATTAAAAAACAAAACAAAACGTAAACACACTTTGCGGTCAACATTTTCCTTTTTGATACCAAAGCAGCTGAATTCGACCCCCCCCCCCCCCACCCGTCTCATCATTATCTTCAACACTCATTGCACAAATTGACATCATTTGTTCACCAATTCTCCCAGTCTGTTCACAACATCATATAATTCACAAATACTAAGAAAATGAAAACATGGTGAAAATCTGTCATAATCATGATAATTATCTTAAAAGCAAAATAGACATAGCAGAGAATAGATACACAACTCTGTTTAATGAATAAAAATGAAAAAAGCAAGAACATTAAGTTGAGGGGTGACAATATCACTACCAGCAATATTACTACTCGGGTACGCACGTACATGCATAGTGGAGTCCGCTTAAAGTGAATTCTTTGATGGGACCAGAAGAAAGTGTTCATTTTATCCGAGGTTACGTTGAACCATGTTGGTCAAAATAAAAGGGAAGCCATAAGAAAATGCCAAGGGAACGAGTTTTCGTTTTTACGGGTTGTACCCCTTGATCAGAACGCTATACAACGTGAATTTCGTGCATTCCGTGTAAGCGGGGAGTGATGGGGTGGGGGTGGGGAGGGGGGGGGGGGCAAAAAAGCGGGCGAGCCTAGACTAGAATAGAGCTTTTTCTTTCTGATTCTGATTGCCGTCGCCAACGCCGAGCTGGGATTGTCTGCCGATGCCAGAGGCAAAGAATGCATGGCGACAGTGACACTATCTGTCCGTTCTTCGCTTACACTCATTTTGGGCATTCACTTTTTCCAATTTCCCTATGAAACCGGTTAATTATATCCACTATTTTTTTTTGCTACTGAAACAAATAGTGTTTCAATTGGGACCACAGAATATCGTTCACTTTAACCGATTGTTAAAAAAAGCGTGTTCACTTTAGGCGGACCCCACTGTACATACAAACGGTGAATTACTGAAACCAACACCCACAAGATCAAAGACAACCCTATCAGTAACAGTTATCGTGGTTATTTGTGGCGACCAGCACTATTGTTACCTCAGCATTACAAAGTTCTATCTGATCAATACCTAGTCTTTTCTAAAAAGAAATTTGACGTCAAAAAGTTTGAGTTTCACAACATGTCAAGCTTTTTAAAATGCAGTTCTCTAAATATCTTGATAACGACTCCGAATAATCTTCGGATTTTGATAGAGCAAATAGAACATCTGGTTTCTGACCTGATGGTCATAGTAACTCAAAAACGACCGAAAATGCCAGATACGACTTTGTAATTCTGAGGCAGTGATATGCCAGCAATATACTTTCAGCCTAAACTTTTTACATGATTGCTGATTTAGATCTATTTCCAAGGCACATTCAAATTTGATTCTAGAAGCTGGTAATATTAATTTTGATTTTTGCGTCAGTTTAGTCGGTGTCCATCTCCGATACTGATCCGTGGATAGGGAAAACCCGCAGAGACACTAAGCAAGAAACTACAATCACCCAGAAACCCCGTGCCAGAGCTGCTGCAGTAATTGCTGATCAAAATTGACTCGTTCAGTCCCAGGCACAAAAGTAGGGGCAAGAAAGCTGGAGCAATAACACACGGTAAGGATGCTTTGAACAACTCGTGGTTTGTCATGGAAGACAGACAGGGAAAAAAGGAGCAGCATCAGATGCATAAAAAGGTTCAAGCAGGTCATTAAAAGTAAAACATACATGTATGTGGGATAAAAAATGTAAAGAGAAAATTTGGGTGTGTGTGTGTGGGGAGGGGGGGTGCACCAAAATGCTGATGTTTCTGTTTGGCAGTATACCCGTCTTGCTGAGCTCCAACAGAAAATTATGAGGAATTAGCCTTTGTGCATCGCTCTTTACTCAAACAATCTCTCCCACCTACCCCAACCCCCACCCCCACCCCCACACCTGAACCCCCACCTGAGGTACTGAAGGTACCCTGTTAGTCACACCTAATCACACGCAGATATAGCCCAAATAATGGCAAATAATGGTAAGCAGTACATGTTACTTTACTAATTAAGCCATGATATAAAAACCATAAGGAATAATAACAATATTATCATCAATGATGAGAAGATAATGATGAGGAAGAAGCAGGTATAAAAATAAAAGGAACACTGTTTTGTTAATCATATCATGGAGGATGAGCTCTCTAGTTCCCACTGAGAGGGACATTATGGTTTCAATGTTTTCAAACACTCGACACACCAGACAGTGAGATTCCACTTGGGAGACAAACAAACGTAGTCACACGGTTTTTTTATACTTTCAAACCTTAATTAAATAACTTAAAACAAGAACCTGAATACTGTCTAATGATCGACACTCAACCAAGGAGTTCGACATTTTGGAATGATACTATTATGAAAAGACGCAGGTGATTCTACAGACGTTTACTACAGACTTCAACATAAGTTAAGGTCCATCTTGACAGACAGCCCTGATTTTCACAAATCCGAAAAAAGACAGCAAGGAACGTTTCAAATTTGTTTTGCTCTGAAAGTGTTAATAGGTTAACAATGCGTACCGCAAAGCTTCCTAAAGGGGAAAAACCACCAGGAGCAGCACGGAAATCCTCAGGGAATTGTAGCCGAATTTACAAATGGTCCTGAACTTATGTTGAAGTTGAAGTCTGTATTATAATATCCTAGACTGGGCACGCCTAACGCGATTCCAGTTCGCTGTGTAGCGCACCATTTGACTCTTTTTTGAAACCAGAATGAAGGACAAGTAGGAAAAAGTCACGTGCGCACTCGGCTATCGCGAGATTTGTGTTTTGCCAGTCATTTGAACGTCCATAGCCTTCTTAACCCTACCCGTACGTCGTGTTTTACTATCGTATCCATACGACATGGGGGACTCGGTGCCACTACTTTCCAAAAGGAAATTTACTCGTTAATCCGAACCGTACGCTTTGCTTTGCATAGCAGTCGGTCAAAATGATTTTTTGAGAAATACTGAAAGTTTTAAAGAGATTTTCGCACTAGAAGTATTCTAAAATGTGAAGAATACAACCCCAGGGGTACAAAATGCGTACGGATAGGGTTAAACAAACCGTAAATCTACTTGTGTGGAGCGTGTCTGCCTGAGGCAACATGGCCTGTACGCAAGATACCCTGACGTAACAGTTTTTTTTTCTCCTGCGGGAATCAATGTTCTTCGAAGCCTCCTCAACCAGCGTCATGTCAAGAGTATACCGTTCGAGATTCGAACCTGGATCGCCTGTGCTGCTGCTATAAGGTATGCCAGACGACTGTCGGGCATTTGGCGTACGGAAGAAGCAACACGAAACCTGATTCCAAAATGAAAGCAAGAAATCGGTGAACGCTACTGATGCAAGCGAGACCCGTCTTTTACTGGTCCAAAACGAAGTTAGTTTTTTTAGTTTTAGAAAGACGAGTGTTTTACAGCACTTGCAGCACAATAAGGTCATAAAAGTGCCGAAAATTAGAGGTGTTACAAGAGAGTAACAAACACAAAAAAGAAGGAGGAGAGATAAGGACGATAAATGTTTGATAGGAAAGAAGGAGCAAACCACACCAGAGCACACTCCAGAAGTTCGTTGCATCTGGTCCAAAAAGAATTCCGCCATTCCTCAACTGCTGTGACGTCACAGTCCCGTGGTGGACACGTTGACCAGACTACTCTGTGACCCAGTTTCTCGACGACCTTGAGACAAGGACACACGCTGAAAGCCCACACCTCTAGTGTGACGACACACGCGACACACAAAGTCCCGCTTGACCACGGTCACTCCCAGGGTCAACAAGGCCACACAGTACAGGGACAGAAGGATCACGTAGTCACTGTGGGAGAACATAGCCCTTCACGATCTCTAATTCATTCAATCCAGCTGGCAAACGGAAAAGAGGATGACTAGATCTGTAACAAATGGAACAAAACGCAGTTGAGGTTGAGGTTGGTTGAGATTGTTTGGAGAATAGGCATCACTGCAGGCGGCACAATGCCATAGCTGCACCTCCCTCCTCTCCAGGATCCATGAAAAGCAGTTGAATGAACCAGTAGGGAGCCTGTATGAAAATGGAATCGTCACGGAGGAACTACTCTCTGTAGAAATTTCTAGAACGTCTTAGTCTAGTGGTAAGACGTTAGATCTTCTATTTATGATTTTCTTTTGAGTGTTGAGTTTGATTACCAACTTGAGCTGACAGGACGATAGATCGTTGGACAAGTTACTATATGGGCCTACATTTTATTCCTACGTTTGTCCTTTTGCACGCAGGCACTTGGCAATCGTTAGAGAGAAGGAATAGGAACTCTCTTGTCACCAAGTGGATAGCCCAAAGCCAGCCTCTCCCCGTCTTCTCACTTGTAGGCCCAAAGCTTTTGGAGCACAAAACCAACAGGTGGTCTTAATTAATGCTGGTCAACTGTGGGTTTTATTCTGTAGATCAGACATGGCACACATTACTTTTTCTTTCTTTCGCCACACAACCTCGTAGTCGGTTGCAGCCTTCACGAGAGTTAAATGATGAAAAGCCTTATTGGAGAATAAAAGCAGTCTAAATTATAGCTAAAGTGCATCATGTTTTGGGCCAACACACGCCTTTGTGTATCACAGATGGTCTGGAGCTGATAGTCACAACAGCCGACTGCATAGTTTAGAAACGGGTAAATCTGACGGAAGCATGCCAGTTTGTCACAGGCCCAGTTTGTCACAGGCCCAGTTTGTCACAGGCCTAGACTGTGCCCTGCATGATGGAAGTTATCACTGACACTCTCAAAAAGAGTAAATGAATAATTGATTTATTGTGTGAATTGAATTTTATTTTTCAATTGTTTTTAAAGAAAGAAATATTGAGTAATTTAAATTGGCTTTGATTTGCATACAAAAGGGAAGAAATATTGAACACAAGCTGAATTGACTTTTTAGAGGGACTATCTCTACACCGCCAAATTGAATGTGGAGAAAAAAAACTTAAGTTACAACTACAGTGTGAAAGTGCTGTAATTATGACTGTCATCAATGCTCAAATACTTAAATGAAATTGTGACAAACTGGGCAGCCCCCCCCCCCCCCCTCAATCTGACACGCAGCAAGACTACCCACACTGGAACAAGGTCTTTTCGATTAAATATGATAATAATATAGATGATTATGTTAGATCACGATGGTAGTCCAGCAGATTGCCACGTGTGGAGTGCATCAAGGACACGGCCTCTAGCTGCCAGTATAACATCAGGGGATACTAACTCGGCAAGACAAATTAAATCCTCTTATCATATGTATAATGACCACGATTCCAAACAGTCCTCGTATCCCCCTCCCCCCTTAGAGTTTTATACTAAACAAGCGTATCAAATTCTAAAATTTCGGAAACACCTATTGAACATTGATACGCCGGGTTTTTTAAAAGTTTTTTTTTAAAGAACTCTTCAAATTTCTTCTCAAAGTGTCGTTTTTGTCTTGTCGTTTCCCGGAAGACTTCTTGGAGTCTCCATTTGTTCTCCACAACTGTTCATCTCAACTTTACTCGAAGCGGAACAGAGCGTGAGGAAAGTACAACATGCGAGTGAACACAACACACCGTGCTCGGAGAGTCAATATATAAAGACTACACATAACACAACACACCGTGCTCGGAGAGTCAATATAGAAAAACTGCACACAACAAAACACGCGTGCTCTGAGAGTCAATATATAGAAAAACTGCACACAACACAACTCGCCGTGCTCTGAGAGTCAACAATCGTATAGAAAAACAACCCACAAACAGAGGATATTGCCATGAGCAACCACAAAGAGACCAAAGACAAAAGCAGCAATGAGAAAAAACAACACTGCCACAATTGAAACAAAACCCATGAAAAATCGAGAGCAGCATTTATTATCTGCAGTTTTTTCCCCTCCACTTTCCGAGGGGCGACCAGGGAAATTTCTGCTTTTTTCTGCTTTTTTCTGCTGTTTTCTGCCTTTTTCTGCTTTTTTCTGCTTTTTTCTGCTTTTTTCTGCTTTTTCTGCTTTTTTCTGCTTTTTTCTGCTTTTTTCTGCTTCAGAACGTCTTTTTTTTTTTTTTTAAAGAGGTTAATTTAAGAACTCAGAGAGAAGCCAATAGAACGCAAGTTTGAAAACAATGACACATCAAATGGAGCATTTGAAATTTTTAAAAAGCTACAAAAAACCCTTTTAAAGTGGTTGTTTCCCCTTAGTGGTTTATTATTGGTTTTTATTTACGTTCTGGTTTTTCATTGTTGAAGACGTTTTGAAGGACAAGAGGGATAACCCAGATTTCGGGGGTTTCCAGAAATCTTGACTTACTGCAAAAGTGGGCATTGCCCTACCTAAAGGAGAAGTTTGGTTTCATTGCTGTGTATATTTGTTTGATTTTAGAGAAAACTCTCCTTGTCTTTTAAAGAAACTGAACAAGGATCCAAAAATGTTACCTTCGTTTTTCTCAAAACAGAATTTTTCGGGATAGCCCCCTTGTGCTTAAAAGCGACCAAATTAAATAAACGTGAATATAAGCCGGAAGTAATAATATTTTGATTCAAAGTAAAAAGAGTGAAACATGAAAGAAAATTTTTCAGTTGTGGTTGTAGATCTATTAATAATAGATGTGGTTTACTGCAACTTTTTTTTTCTTCAAAAGTTTGATCCCCCTCATTTAGAAAGTGGGACGTTGCTTGGAATCTGCCACGGGCCAACCTGGACTGTATTCTAGGACACATCCCAGCAAAAGGAACAAAAACATCGAGCAAAAGGTGTACATGATTTTCATGCATGAAAAAACAAAGTACAGTATTGTCTTTAAAAAAAATACAAACCAGAATGAAATCCATCACATCACCACATACACGGGCGACAAATAGAATAAGTCAGACAAAGACAATTAATTATTCAAAAAAGCTTGTAAAAAATACAAATGCGTAGACACTTCGTGACAGAAAACACAAGAAAGCGAAATCATGATTATTTATTATTATAGTAGAGGGTTTTACGGCCCTCGCAACTGCATAAGGTCAAATGCGACAAGGGGTGGATGTCAACAGAGAAGTCTTTACAGGGAATCAGACTTACTCTGCTCACCTCTCTAGCTTCAGCAGCACAAGGTCTGCTTCAACTATCAAGGCACCCCGGAAATAGCAGGTCACAAGAGTGACAAACATACAGAGGAAAATGACAATAGTAAGGATTACGAAAAAAAAGCAGCAGTTGCCTGCTGTAGATCAGGCACAGTTATGAGCGTGCCATGAATCAGCCCATTTACAATTCTACTGGGCTTGAACGAGAAATGCCCCCCCCCCTTGGGAAAGGCCTAAAGACACTACAGTCAGTGGCACTGCCCCGGGCGGAACGAGATCATGAGAGACACACATTACACAACAATATCTAAGAGAAACGTAACCTACGCTAAATCTAACTTAAAAACTGCGCAAAGCGAAACCATTGACACACATGCAAGCTAAGCAAACCTTAAACAGTTCTTACAAACCTCAAAAACAATTCAAGACATGCACAGAAAAGAAAATGTTGAAACTGACAGAAGTGAAAATAAACGAGAAAAAGAGGCAGAAATAAGCAATAAGGACAGCTCAGTTCAGGAAATATTGGTGTACATTCTTTTTCTTAGAAAGGAGGAGGAGGAGGAGGAGGAGGAGAAGAAGAAGAAGAAGAAGAAGAAGAAGAAGAAGAAGAAGAAGAAGAAGAAGAAGAAGAAGAAGAAGAAGAAGAAGAAGAAGAAGAAGAAGAAGAAGAATTTTTTTTCCTTTTTTGGAGTTAGGTAGGACGAGAAGAACCTCCGTCTTATGTATTTCCGTTGTTGAAATAAAACGCTTTAAAACGTTTAAAATGAGGAGACAGCTCATCCTCCTATTCTTTCTCCTGTTTAATTTGTTAAAAAACCCATGCTTTTGTGGATGGATGTCATGAACTGAGCCGTCACATTCTCATTCTAATACGGGGTGCCCACTACGGCTGGGATCTGCCGATCGGGCCGATCGCCGGACTCGAGCGCCTAAAAAACAAACGTGTTTGTCTTCAGTTTCTGGCGATCGAGTAGTGGGCACCCCGTATTACGCTGACGTTCTGCAGATATGCGTGAGCAGATTTTGCTTCCGGATCTTTCCCCTCAGCCTCGACCTGGGCACGTTTTGGCTGCTCAAATGGGCGCGCGTGCAGCATTTGTCGAGATAACATAACATCTTGCTGGAATACATTGTTATGTCCCTCGAACCCTCGGAAATATCTAAAGAACTTAGATACGTCCTTCTTTACTCCTCGCAAGCCTTTCATCTTGCGATCCAAAGAGAAAACACTCGATTACTTATGACACTGTTTCCAGGATAAGCACTGTACGCTTCCCCCAGGGAGTTGAGATACTTTCAGAAAGCTATCAGGTCTGATGGGGGGACCAGTTTAGACTGTGAAGCGCGGAGATCAAGCTCTCGGGAGGGAATTTGCGCTATACGAATGCTGTTAATTATTTACTATTACTGTATGCCTAAAACAGATCTATTTCTGGATTTTGTGAAGCGAATAGACCCAACTCCTGCGAGGGAATTTGCGCTATACGAATGTTGTTGCTCATTATTTACTGTTATTGTATGCCTAAAAGCAGATCTATTTCTGGGTTTTGTTCACGTCTGTGGATTTCTTCAGCATCTGTGTGGATAGCATAACCTCTTGTTGCATGGATCCCTTGTACATGTCATAACCGCGGAAGTAAATGAGGAACAGTTTGATACTTTTCCTCATCTTCTGCAGCATACGTACACTTTTCTTCACACCCATTTTGAATCTTTCAATTTACGATAGAAACAATGCGAATGTATGCACAGCAAGTTAGGGTAATATTACTCTTAGAAAAGAAAATCGGCCTTGTCAAACACTAGAAATTTTAGAAATAAAACAAACAAAAAAACACCGATTTGCAATGGAGATTTTGTATGACAAGACAAGCAATACCTCTATGCTGTCTGTCTACCGGAAAATTAGTGAATGTTTTTGCTTTTCAAAACTTTCTACACGTTTTCCGGGTCGGTCGGATTTTCCTCAGATCTGTGGAATACTGGCTTGACAAATTCCTTCAGTTTGAGCAGAAACTTTCTCACTTTGGATTCGACTGTCACTGTGGATTCGACTGTCACTTTGACCGAGTCGCTGTTTGGCAGAAGAGATTGATTATTCTTCTTTTCGTCGGAGACAGGGTCTTCCTGTACCAAATCCTCAGGACTCTGCAGCTCTCCTTGTCTGCGTCTGGCAATGAAACTGGTGCCACTGCAGAGGCTGACGTAATAGCAACACTTTTCCCGGCACAGGAATAGGGCAATCAGGGTCAAGGCCAAGGTCACGCCAAGGACGGCGAGAACCACGAGGTCACCAGAGGTCAACGAACTCTCGGAAGGATCAAAGCTAATGATCATCATCAGGGAAAGGGCCCTGCTTGCTTGCAGCTGGTCGATGCACGGCGAGTACTCGCGGCTGGCTGGATCGTCAGTTAGGTGAACAGACGTCCTGAAGAAAGGGATTTCGGGCTCTTTCTCCACCGGACTGCTGGGTTGTACGTTGTATTTGCTGGGTTGCACACAACGATTTCAAGAGAAAACAATTCTCTCTTAATAAAAAGAGTTCGTTCAATCGTATCAGCTTAACACGAACTAAGAAAAAAGTCAGACCTGATACTGATACTGATACTGATACTGATACTGATACTGGCACTGATACTGATACTTATACTTGTGATCCTTCTGAAATGTCTTGTCTTGGTACCCCTTGTATTCAACGCTTTTCTTCTCAAGAACAGAATCACAACGATGCCACACGGGTGTACACATTATGTCAGAGGTGTTAAAGTTCATTTTGAATGTTGACAGAAGAACTTTCAAGTTGTTTGGGATGAAGTCTTGGATGATGGGAGTCACTCAACATTCAAAAGCTGATGAATTCTGGAACAAGGAGAGCAAGAATTAGTGAACTTGTAAATAGTATCGTTTGCAGCTTGTGCAAAGGAGTACTAAAACGTTGGGACTCTCATAATGACAAATGAAATAACCACAATTGAACAAGAAATTCTACACACACCAAAGAAGAAGAAGAAGAAGAAGAAGAAGAAGAAGAAGAAGAAGAAGAAGAAGAA